TCGCCGCCAAGCATCACAATCATTAAATATGTAAGATTGTAAATTGTATGAGAAACAATGTTATAATCAACATTGTTTCATCAACAATAATTAGTCCAACCTTTTTATTTACTTCAGGTACTTGAGAGCTGTGGTATACAGATGGTTGATGATGGGTCTATGGGATGGGAGAATACTCGGCCTGCTTGTGTTTACCACATTATTCGGAAAGCATATCCAAGTGGTAACACAACAGGTTACATACTATCAGAGGGGCTATGATGGAACAGTCTTTTAACTTGTGCACTGTAGAGACTGTTGACCTTCTTTGCTGAGTTTGGAATGGTCAGGAAATATGCCTAGATGAAAACCAAATAGGAGATACATGGATGCACTATATAAGTTGACATGCAGTTTAATGGTTTGAAACAAGAGTAAACAATAAAAGCAAATTGGTGCAACTACTGAGAGGTTAAGCTGAAAGAATTAAATGAAAGAATATATTTTCTTCAATGTCAGTCTGGGAAAAAAAACAAAAGAAAAAATATATGGAATTAAATCATAGCATAAATGTAAAAATGGAAAATAGCAAGCCGTTCAAATGGCGAATCGTTTGCTTCCCCAGTGCATACTTAAACATGCTCAGATTCATCACTAGTAGATGGTACTTCCTCATTGAGAGAACATGTTTCCTTCAGCGATTGCTTATGGAGAGTATGTCGAATAATCTACAAAATTTATATCGAATTTACATATGACAAAAGAAAAATTAACATAAACAAGCGTAAACTTACTTGTCTTCGCTTTCGATCGGTTATTTCGTCCTGTAATGGTTCAGGAATCCCAGCCACGTCAATGGTTGGGATAGCATCTTTCTTCAACCTTCTTTTGAGCTTAACTTGCGCGCTCAAATTAAGGTCAAAACAAGAATCTTCAAAATGCGCAGAACACAGACACGAGCTAGAGGAAGCCTCAAAACCTGGTCTATGTTTACGCAGAAAATTTACCCATTTTCAAAGTCTTTGCGGCTCTGTTTCTTTTTTAGGAAACAGATGCATCGACATTCCTTCGGTTTTTGAATCATTGGCGCAACTAATTTGATTAGGTCCGCCAGAAACACAGCGTTTTCCTCCGCGTTTCTTATTAAGATTACTAGTAGAATACGCCATGTTGATATATGTGTTCAACTTTCTACGTCACAACTCATTAGCATACCGATCAAAAAATTCGCAAAAAATATACTGAAAATCGTGACCTCGAACGTCCGTAAAATCACTTTCACCAATCCAATTTCAATTATAATTGCAGATTTAAAATCACTGAAACAAGGTCTTTCAATTTAGCTAATAAAAAAAGGGGGGGGGCTAAAATTCGTGATATAACCACTTTAAAAACCATCATCAAAAAGAATGACATATTTACAAGTTGCCAGTTGATTGTACGTATATATACATAATTCGTATATATATACAGGTGTTCAGTTACAATACGAGAAAATTTAGGGGCTGTATACATGATCCCGGGTAGCCGGGCTCAGCCAAGCGTTAAAGGATTTTGGCAAATGGAAAAGATTTAATATTTTTCATCAGATGAATGTTCTTCAGCCCTTTCACAATATTTTAATTTAATAACTATACGCATAACATTCAAAATCGAACAACAAATTCGGCCTTATTTGAGAATATACATGACGAAATCAATCTTATTTACTTTTTATTTATTTATTAAACTTTCTATAAATACAATACATAGATAACTAAATGACAGAAAACATACTACAGCTTTTGGAGGCCAACAGATGTCACAAACATTAAAAACAACACAATATTCCACTGGACAGTTGACGTGTCTTGTTACAAGATAGAAATATACTTTTCCATGTTCTTGAACCGTCAATGTCATCAAGTATTGTTTCTAAGAATAATTTATAACATACTCATAGCTTTTCCTTGAATTGACTAAGGCTGATCTTGTTTTCATACATTTAAATTGCTTAGTAATGCATTCTTGAGTCGAATGCACCGATTTAGAAACGACTTTTGGACTGTACTTGTTTTGTATTAATTAGTAACAAATGACAAATGGTTTGGATAGCACATAACCATGTTTTACATTGGCTTAAAGATTGGTTTGTAGCGGTAAAATTTCTTTATGTAATATAATTATATGTATTTAAATAGTTCATTAGGGCCTGTTTATATGGAGCCAAGTTACCCGGCTAGGCAAGTTACTCGCTCAACCGGGTTTAAAAAAGTGATCTGTTTATATGGCACCGGGTAACTCGGCTAGTACTTCCGTTCAATTTTCTTAAATGAAGTTTGGCTATGCTAACTTCGAGTAAAGGCGCGAGATTGTATAAAGCCTCACAGTTTCGCAGCAAAAATGGAATGGGTGAATATAAAATTGAAAATTATGATATGTGTGCATGTTTTTGTATAATAATGCTGCAAGTAAAAGGCTTATTACGCATGCGTACCAACAGAGCCATTTTCTCGCCTCGCCGAGTTACCCGGCAAATGCGTTTACATGGAAAAATTCATCCCGCCTAGCCGGGTAACTCGCTTACACAAACCGACTTACCCGGCAAGGCGAGTTACTCGGATGTGTCATATAAACGATTCGCCGGGAAATGCATTCATTTTATATATGGGCCGAGTTACCCGGCTAGGCGAGTATCGGCTTCATATAAACAGGCCCTTAGTTTTAGTTGAAACGAAATCTTTACTCTATAATGATATGGAATGGTCAGACTGAAAACGAGAGGTAGCAACTTCTAACCGTCTTGATAATAAAAGAAAGACTGGTTGTGTGCTAGAGTGAAAAGACAACAGTTGCTTGCTGACCCTACTTTCTGTTTCATCTAAATCAAAAACTTGGACAAACATTGGTTTCGTAAAAAACATCAATTGTTGGACGGTTTCCAAGAACATAAAAACTGAAATTACTTTTTACAAATTTACAAAATGTTGTACACGATAGACAGAGATGTTAACCAGAGTGAATGTAGAAAACATATTTTAAGAACAAGAATAGGTTTGGAGGAAACATAATGAGAACGAAAGCCAGAACAGTGGAGAAAATAATGTCACTATCTTGTCTAAACAAGAGCTGGCATTCAGAGCAGATGATGAATCCGTATCTTGTTTTAATCAAGACAACCATAGAAAGTTTCCAAAGTTATTTGGCAAAATCAAATTCCGTTTTTTAACAATTGCTTGCATGGCAAACTATTTGAGTTAGAACGTAGTGATGGCTAATGCAGGAGGTGTTTTCATCTGCATGTGTATCACCTGATCACTGGAATTATTTGAATGTCTTTATTGACGAAGTTATTCATGATCAGATCGATGCAAAAATCAGGGAATGCCAGTTTCATTGTTCCTAATGTGATTAAGCTTTGCATAAATCACCCCAAAATCAGCTTATCTATACTAACCGTCTGATTAAAAGCGTGTTTGGATCATTTTTATATGTGTATCGAAGCGTATACTTTTTTAAAATAAGTTGTTAAATTATCGTAAGATTAAGTATGGACATGTCGCGGGTTTTCATATAAATACAGAAATTGAATGGGAAAAAATATACATGTTGGGCATTCAACACGCGTTTGTATCTGGAAAATGTGGCTGTCATATACGTTATGGGTGACGTTATCATAATAATGTTTTTATTGCTAAAGGATCCACTTATAAACAAAAGTTATTGGGGAGCTCAACCAATGCTAAGGGCTACTCTGATCTATAAATAAACTTAAACTACTAATATACAACAGTGGCTTTGTTTGATCATGCGGATGGATCAGTTAAAATTTCACCCAAAGACGCGTCTGATCGGGTGAAGCGAAATGCTTCGAAGAAAGTTTTTTCATTTGTTTAGGGGCCGAAATAGATCAGCATAGCAACAACAACGAAAGAAGCATGGGATATTTTAAGAAATCAGTTCACCAAAACTTCTATTTCACAGTTCATTTGACTACACCAGCAATATTAATCGCACCAGTTTAAAAGTGAAAACATACTCTACCATATCAGCGAATTGAAATTTCTCCACGATCAACTAAAAGAAATGGGATGTAAAAACAACGATCGCCAATTGGCAATGACTTTACTTGCAAGTTTGCCAGGAGAATACAAGCCGCTGATCACAGCTTTCGATGCGATTGGAAAGGAATCTTAAATTTATCAAAAAGTTAAAGGTCTGTAGCTTAATTTTGTAAAATAAAATGTTAGGTACAAAGAAAGATGAAGTGGCGTATGCTGCTCACTGATAATTCAGGAGAAAAGAAAAGAAAGAAGATTACAGTAGGAAAGAAAATAACACCAGCATTCTTTTCAAGAAGTTTGTGGCTCATGTAAAAAAAGAGAACATTTTGCACGAGATTTTTGCCGAAAGAAAGAACGATTTAAGTAGTAAATTCCACAATAAAGGAGAGAGGTCAACATATTGTGCCAAAGAAAATGTGATTGATGAGGAAAGTACTGATAAGGTAACGTTACTCACAAAAAGAAATGAAAATAGATATGATGAGATAATCAATTATGTTGCGACTCAACATATGCAAACGTGACAATTTATCAGACTATGAAGAGTTGTGAAAGCCAAAGAAAGTAAATCTTCGGGATGATCATGTCATATTGTCTTAAGGAAAAGAAACTCATCGGGAGGAAATATTCATGAAGCATTATGCATATGATAATTCGTTAAAAGCAATAAATTTCAAAGCAACTTTATACAGCATATCTAATCTATACGAATATTCTCCTTCCCTTCAAATATCGTTCAGGCAACGCCACAGCACAGTTTAATATCTTTATAGCATATTCTGATAAGACAAATCGTATATCTTAACAGGAAAAATACAGAGTTATTGGACTTGAAATGTCATGTAAGTTGTTAAAATTGTTTAAGCCAAACATGTAACACACAACAGTATTAAAACAAAGTGCAATTCAAATAAGTTCACCAAAGAAAGTCTTTTTTTCGCTTTGCATGCACAGATATGAAAGACAAGTGTTTGGTACCTTAAGCTTTACACAAAGTTGTCCATATTTGAATCACAAGTTTGCCATTTCTCAATGATGTCAGATAAAGTGTTTGTAGCAATAAAAGATGGCTTTATGAACCTAAATTAAAAAGAAAATGTGTTAATAAACAACAAAAATATTTGATACTATTTTCACAATGGCAGATCAAGGTTAAGTCAGAATACAAAATTATAGCACCTCATCATAGATTTTAAATACCAGAGCAATAATTCTGTTGGTTAAAGTTTCTAAAGAATATTTTGACGATAATTATTTAACCAATTGAGTTGTTTATAAAGTATTTCGGTAGTTTATAAAAATTACTTAAACTATTCAAAGATGACATAAATATTCAATTTTAAAATAAATTTGTTTAATCAGGCATAAATGTGATTTAATACATCACAAAGTAAAAGAAATAACACATATATTTAACAAATAGACTGTCTTGATTGAACAACTAATAATTTCTACCAGGTATTTAACTACTTTAACATACACATCATTGTAAACATACCTGGCTTAAAATGACAGTGATTTGTTTTTAGTAAGCAATTGTTGTTGTTTGAATTTGTAACTTTGTTTGATTGATCTACAACTACAGCATTACAAGTTGCTAAGGGTTATCTATAATATAAAATTTATGGTATTAGGAAAGGGATGCTTTAACTGTTTGGGAGGGGGTTTGGGGAGCTGAAGTTTGTTATTTTGAAGGTTTTTTAAAACATTACAGTGGAACATATATTATTGAAGACTTAGCCTTTGTACTTCATACGTTGCTTAGTTGTAGAGTAAGACTTAATTTATAAAAAGTGTATAAATGACTTAACAGTTGGTGAACAATTAACATTTTAAAGTCACATTTATACATCGCGTAAACACGCATGATAATTCTTTGTCTTATGTCTTACAAAACTTCAACTGGTCGACGGTTGAAACCTTCAGGTTTTGATATTTAACGTTCTGGAAGTTGTATGAATAGATTGTTATGAAAAACAAAGAATGAAAGCAAAGGCGCATTAAATTGGGCACAATCGACATTGATAATGTTAAGTCGTGACAATGTACAATGATTAGCAAAACTATTTTGCTGCATTGAAAATTAGGAACTTACATTTAATAAGCGATGCTGTATATTTTAATGCAAAGATACACCGATTTCATCATTAAAATTATGGTATTTCTGCTTGTAAAACGACCTAAATATTTAACTATTCAATGATGACATGATTACAATTGCAATTTCAAGTAAATTTGCTTCGGCAAGCATTAATATAATAACACATATTTTACAAATATAACGACTGAACAGTGTGTAGACGTCACTTCCTGTTAAATATTACTTCCGCTTATAATGTATATATATAGAGGACATTTAGATAAGAAGGCACTTAATAAAAACTCTACATGGTGGCAGAGATATATAGGATTCTGTCTAAAATGGTAAAGACCAGAGGACAAGAGACGTGGAGATAAATAAGAAATGGCATTTCAAACACAAATTCCATTGCCAGAAAAATTAGAATCGAAAAAGCCCGAAGATTGGAAGCGATGGATTGAACGATTCGAATGTTATCGCATCGCAGCTGGCTTAGACGAAAAAGATGATAAAGTACAAATCAATACTTTGGTATATGCTATGGGAGGCAATACCAATGATCTTTTAAAAAGCTTTCAAATAAGTGAAAGAGATATGGTGTACGGAAATGTTGTAGAACAATTTGCATCGCACTTTGTTGGTCGATCGAACACAATTTTCGAGCGTGCTCGGTTCAATAAACGAATACAGGGTGAAAAAGAACCAGTCATCGACTTTGTGGAAGACTTGTACAAACTGGCGGAAACTTGCCAATTTGGAACACTAAAAGACGAGTTGATACGAGATAGAATTGTCGTCGGTATACAAAATGCAAACCTTTCACAAAGGCTAATGCAAGATGATAAATTAACATTGGAGAAAGCTATTAGGGAGGTGAAATCATCAGAGCTTGTCAAGCGCCATCACGATATTCTAAAAGGAGACAGCGAAAATGGGCTGATTGGTCGCGTAAGAACAAATCAACGAAAAGGTAATGATACGACACAAAAATCGAAGTTAAAATGGAATCAGAATAGGAGTCCCGATCAACATTCGAGCAAGAAAAACCGTCAATGTTCTCGATGTGGAAGATCAACAATTCACAAAAGAGAGGATTGTCCAGCGAACAATAAAACTTGTTTAAAGTGTAATAAACAAGGGCATTTTGCAGCCGTATGCAGAAGTAACTCAAGCGCAAAAATTCAATCAGTTGATGACAAAAGCACGGATTCCCCAGGAGATTTTTTTCTTGGGACAATTAGCGATATAGAAAATGAGCGAAAATGGGCAATCGACTTATTATTAGGAAAGTCGACAGTGAAATTTAAGATTGATACGGGCGCTGATGTGACGGTGATTCCAGAACCGGTGTTTATGCAAACAGGCATAACTCGGATGCAATCAACTAATAAAGAATTGTTCGGGCCAAATCAAGCAAAGCTGTCAGTAAAGGGAAAAATTCGAGCAACATTGAGAACTGCTACTTCAAAACAACAGAGCAAGATATTTATATTGTGAAAAATTTGAAAGAGCCATTGTTGGGACGTCCAGCTATCAATGCCCTTGATCTAATAGCGACAGTCGAAGCGATTCAGTCAAATGATGCAAGTGATATGGAAGAAGATATAAAGGCTACTTATCCAAACTTGTTTAAAGGTCTGGGTGAATTAGACGGAGAATACAACATCAAATTAAAACCTGGTGCTATCCCATTTGCGTTAACCACACCTAGAAGAATACCTTTAACGATGACAAAGAAAGTTCATGATGAATTGACGCGCATGGAAAAACTTGGCGTTATTTCAAAGGTTAATATTCCTACCGATTGGTGTGCTGGTATGGTTGTTGTTCCAAAAGCAGATGGTAAAATAAGGATCTGTCTTGATTTCACAAAGTTAAATGAGTGGGTCTTGCGAGAAATTTATCCACTTCCGAAGATCGAAAGTCTTTTGGCAGAAATAAGAGGATCAAAATAATTTTCGAAGCTAGATTGTAACTCTGGTTTCTGGCAAGAAAAACTAGAACAAAACTCTCGTTTGTTAACTACATTTATTACTCCGTTCGGAAGATTCTGTTTCAACAGAATGCCTTTCGGTATTAAATCTGCACCTGAGCATTTTCAGAAAAGGATGAAACAGCTGCTGGAGAAACAAGATGGTCAAGTAAGCATAATTGATGACGTACTTGTTCATGGAAAGACAAAAAATGAACACGACAATGGACTGAAAGCTGTGCTGAAAAAATTTGACAGTGCTGGAGTAACACTAAATCCTGAGAAGTGTGAGTTTGCTAAGAAGATGGTAAAGTTTGCTGGTAATATAGTGAGTGAAGATGGAATTCAAGTAGACCCAGAAAAGATTGAAGCAGTACAAGGTATGGAAGTGCCACAAAATGTGAGTGATGTGCGAAGATTTTGGGAATGGTTAATCAATTGGGAAAATTCATTCCAAATTTGTCTGAAAAACAAAACCTATTAGAGATCTATTGAGTACAAAGAATGAATTTCAGTGGGAGGTGCTCAACAAAAAGCTTTTGAAGAGATGAAAACTGAATTAAGTTCTGTACCAGTTTTAGCCTATTATGACCCAACGAAGCGAACTGTTTTGGCAGCCGACGCATCGTCGTATGGTATAGGAGCAGTTCTTTGGCAATTAAATAAGAAAGGAGAAAAGAAACCAGTCGCTTATGCGTCAAGATCAATGACAACTACCGAAGAACGATATGCTCAGATTGAAAAGGAAGCATTGGGAACAACTTGGGCTTGTGAGAAATTTAATGATTATATTTTAGGAATGGATTTTGTGATAGAAACTGATCATAAACCCTTGGTTCCTCTGCTTGGCTCGAAGATATTAGACCAACTTCCTCCAAGAATACAGAGATTCAAGATGAGGCTGATGAAATATTCGTTTACTATTCGTCACATACCAGGAAAAGAGTTGGTTGTAGCGGATGCATTGTCTCGAGCTCCTATTATGAGACAACCTACAAAATCTGATAACAATTTATCCCAAGATTTGAACACTTATGTTGCACAGATTGTTCAAAACATACCAGCTAGTGAGAGAAGGCTAAAAGAAATTCGCCGACACCAACAAGAAGATCCGGTTTGTACGAAACTTGTGGAATTTTGTTCGGAAGGTTGGCCGGACCGAAATTGAATTACTAGTACCTTGTTACCTTATTACTTTGAAAGAGCAACAATTACAATGCAGAAAGGAATGTTAATGAAAGACTCCCGCTTGATAATTCCATCATCGCTACGTTTAGATATTCTAGAAAAGATTCATGCTGGCCATCAAGGCATCCGTAAGTGTCGTGAAAGAGCAAGAGAATCTGTTTGGTGGCCGGGACTAAGTAAGCACATTGAGAACATGGTTACTGATTGTTCCATTTGTTGTAAATACAGAGAAAATCACACAGAGCCGTTACTAACAACGTGTTTTCCTCAACGACCGTGGCAGAAAGTTGCTACAGACTTGTTTGAACATAGCGGAAAAAATTATGTGCTTGTAGTAGATTATTATTCTAGATATTTTGAAATTGCTCCTTTGAAAAAAAGCACAACTACAGAAGATGTTATCAATCATATGAAATCCATATTTTCTCGTCATGGTATACCAGAAACAGTTGTGTCGGATAATGGTCCACAGTATGCTGCAGCTATTTTTCCAAATTTGCTGAAGAATGGGATTTACACATTTAACAAGTAGTCCTCGCTATCCTCAAAGTAACGGAGAAGCAGAAAGAGCTGTAAAAACTGCGAAGAACTTAATCATAAAATCCGAAGATCCTTATTCAGGTTTACTTGCATACAGATCATCACCATTGCAGAACGGGTACTCACCAGCAGAATTATTAATGGGAGGAAATTACGTTCTAATCTACCAGTAATATCCGAAAAGTTAACTCCAAAGCTTGCTGATACGGCAAAATTGAGAAGAGACGAAGAAAGTTACAAACGACGTCAAGCAGAAAACTTTAATTGTCGTCACAGAGCTTCAGTCCTTCCAGACTTGAGTCCTGATGAAAAGGTTTGGGTAAAAGATATAAAATCACCAGCTGTGGTTGTGGGAAAAACCGATAAACCAAGATCATATATAGTCAGGACAGAGCAGTCTGTTTTAAGAAGAAATAGAAAACATCTTATCCCTGATCCTGAAAATCTGAGGGAAAACAGTGAGTTGAACGAAAGAAAGCTGAGTTTCAGTGATAAGAACGAAGTGAACGAATCTTCAAGTAGTTTGGACAATGAACAGGAATCGAAGGTAATTCGAACCCGTTCAGGAAGAATTATTAAACCCCCAAATAGATTGAACTTAGAAAACTTTTGAAAGATATTTTGTATAGTTATAGGTATAAATATTTATTATTAATTAGTTATTCTTTATATTAAAAAGGGAAGATGTGTAGACGTCACTTCCTGTTAAATATTACTTCCGCTTATAATGTATATATATAGAGGACATTTAGATAAGAAGGCACTTAATAAAAACTCTACAAACAGAACGACTAATAACTGCTATAAGCAATTTAACTTCCTTATATACAGACATATCAACACACACATACCTTGTTGTAGATGGCAGTTATGTGTTTTTTGATAAGCAGAGTTTTGTGGGAAATGTTGTTCGGATAAATTTTTAGGTTTTGATCTTTAACGTTCTGGAAAGCTAAGAGTTCAGCAATATTATATGAACTTTTGAGAGGTGAGAGCTTCAACAGTCGATACAAGGCCAATATCCTACCCACTCTTGCGTGTCCACACACGTGTACGGTGGCCGAGGAGTGCCAATAGAAATTAATTAATGTATTTATTGTAGAAACTAAAGATGAATGAACAAGAATTGTATGTGTTTGTCAGTTCTTGAAGGTTTCACAAAAAAATTAGCTGCTCATCGCTTTTCAGTTGTGTAATAGTACATATATGTATCACGTGATTCGAGAAAAAGCTCATAATTAAAGGTAAAATTGGTAACAGTGACTGTATTAAAGTGGAACCCATTTGAGCTCAATCAATTAAATCAATCGGGTAAAAAGAATTTTCAAATCAATCATTAATACATGTTACCTTAAAAACAACAAATATCTGTTTTGCACTTGTTATTTTACAAGATTATTTTAGATTATGACTACAGCTGTCATAATCTGTGTCATGTTGCTATTATGTAAATAGGTTCATCAAGTGAGAGATGTGAAATGAAAAACTTTTAAAGATAATGATTTTGTCGTTAGATGGTCTAGGGGCTATTACTGCACCTTAATTTACATCCTATGCTTTAAAAAGGTACTTGCAAAAAGTTGGTTCAACCATTACAAAAATAAACTATAGTTTTTCAAGTGAAACTATAGTTTTCGGAACTATAGTTTTGGGGATACTATAGTTATAGAAACTAAAATTTTGGGAGAAGTATAGTTTTACAATTGATAGTTTTGTTCCCAAACACTACAGTTTTCAAAACTATAGTTTTCCGTGAACTACAGTTTTCCAATGAATCTATGTTATAATGTAGTTCATTAACTAAGGGTTACATAAACACAATTTAGCAAATTCCATGTAAAGGTTCTAGTAGTACACATTATTTTATACAGAAATCAATGAAACTATAAATCCACGATATTTTAATTATACATTGTATTTTAACCAGATAAAAATATTCACCAATTTTTTTCCTTTATAGAAAAATATCATTAAGTTGTATGGATAGAATTAATAAAAAATATACTATAGACAGCTAATGTTACTCTTTACAGGATTCGTGTTGTTTTTTCCATGCTTGTTCCTCGTTATTAAGTTTGAACTTTATAGCTTTTACAACATCTTCTTCTATAACCTGGCGTGACATGTTTGAATACTTCACACTCGTTGCATGCTCTAGAAAAAAGAAAGGAATAATGTCCACCTCAACTCTAAAGGATATTTTCTGATAGATCATAAGGTGGGAAGTCAGCAAAGACAAAAGCTAATAAACTTGACTAGGTCTGAAATACAAATACAAAGTATAAAAACAACATAGTAGTTCACAACAGTAAGTTTAAAATATTAAAAGATGCATTAAATTGTTGAGTCATGCTCATAAACCACAGAAACATGTGGATACCAATGTATCCGTTCCCACATGGCTAACAGCCAAGGAACAGTTATTGACGTTAGTTAAATTTCCTTATGTACCATATATAGCTTAAACAGAGGAACTATACCGACCAATAATAATATTTGTTGTTTGTAATAGAGTATAAATACTGCACTGTAAGATAATAAAAATTTGTTCGATCATAAAGTTCACTCGTGGTTGTTACTGAAGGTATGTATAGAGTATATTACGAAAAGAGATATGGCGAGTAACTCGAACTCATCATAAATTTTCATTATTACCACTTATTGTCCCATACAAGACATGGCACAGGGAATGATTGAACAATATACTATGTCTGCATAGTAGAACATGTAAAAAAGAGATGTTTACAGCTGGTCAAACGTGCTTGAAAATGCAGAGTCCAAATATTTATAGTGAAAAAAGTCCTTGAAATTTTTAAAGTTTAATTTCAATAGTACTCAGACTCAAATAAACATATATCTACTTACGAATTAAAGAAGTAGTGTATGTGCGATCAAGCCGAGGCTTCACCTGAGCATTTTTCCCTTTTTGGTCCTTGTAGCTGTGGGTAGCCATGTGTTCAAGGGATAAGGTTGTCCCCATTAAGTTAGCAACATATGATCCAACTTTCTTTGCAACGATTCTTTTAAGGACATGCTTTTTGACAACCAAATTTGGTCCCAAAGTGACCTGAAATAAATTGAAGAATAACAGCATTTGAAATTTATATTACTGGAGTTGCAAATGTTCCATCTCCAATTAAATGGAGCTATTTTATTTACTCAAAGTGTTCATGAAAAAGCAACCCTCAGTTACGATTCTAAAAACAAACGTAAATAATTTTAAAAAGGATTGCTGCAAATTACAACTTGAATTATGTCCATTTGATGAGTCAGTGTTACATAATTAATTAATTCTAATAGATCTGTTTTAACTGCATGTTAGTTTATCAACCAAATCTAATGCTTAGTACCATTTAAAGCTAGGTACAGACAAAACACATCATTTCAGGGAGAGAAGTATCTTCAGTTGTTGCATTTGAGCAATCCAGAGGGCTTTCTTCCATAGTTTGGTTGGTTTCATTTGATAGTCCATTGATAGAGCTCTCAAACAGAGCAGTTGGTATGGGGGAAGGGTTTTCTTCTGGACGATTGGAAAGGTTTGAGTAAGAGCTATTTCTCCCAGATGAAACTGGGGTGAATCTATTCTCTATCACAGGTAAACCTTCAATGGGTGACAAAGATGTGGTGGAAGGGGATGGACGGCGATTTACTGAGGATAGTTCTGGTCAGAAATGATCTTTGTGGAAGTGAGCTAGCGAAATCTTCCAAGGTACACACATATCTTCTTTACTTTTTTAATGAAGTTCTTAAATCTATAAAATTAAAACGATATATCATTAGCTTCTAAAGGTTGATGACACTACGTAATAATGAGTTGTTCTTTTTTACCTAAATACTAAATTTCAAATCCAAAATATACTGAATAGAACAAGCAATTTACAAATTTCTCCATTTTGGAAGACAAAACTGAAAAGCAGAGAAAGCATTGATTTGAAAATACAAATGAAGTAAATTTCCCTCAAGCTCACCATTGCCATTGTCAATTTGCTCATTAAGTCTTTTCATCTGATTTTCCAACATTTTTACTCTCTCTTTGAGTTCCAAGGCGTCTTTTTTATACTTGCATTTATCATTGCAAAGTGCACTACCTTAATCTGACTGACTCTCCTAAATAATCAACAAGAACTTAGGCAATATTTAACAATATTTTCCTTTTAGTACCAACTATTAAGGTGTACTTTACTTACAACAAGTACAATATATTATAATGATAAATCTCAATTTTTTAATTTCATAAGCCCCACTGAGTGAAAATTCATTTGTATGATTGCCCTATACAAGCCTTACACTGTACAATGTTCGCATTTTAAAAGATTTTTCACTTAGAAACAAGAAATGAATTTCAAATTAACTGCATTTTATGACTAACAGGAACATATCATAGAGTATTAACTTTTCTGGCATTTAAACCAAACAATATCCAAATTTTATTCTGAAAAATGACCTAAATTCCCTAGCATTTCTCATTAAAAATAAAATTGCATAATTTAGAGATAAGAATAATTAGTGTTATCATTGTGTATAGTACATACCTTGGTTAATCACTCTTTTATAAGTGAAGCAAGACTGGCTGAGCAGCAAGCCTCTGTTTTCTTTGCCCTGGATGGCTTCAGCTTTTTAGGAATACTGTGCTCCTGCTGGTAACAAGAACAACAATACAAAATTTTATACATGTTGTTTGAAAAGTTTGTTATTAGCTACTACTTCTCATTTAAATTCTTAGGTTCATAGCCTTGTTCAGCAATGTAGACCTTCGAACATACAATTAGTAGCTAATAACATTTGAATCATGAATACCATATGGAGTACTTAACAAATTTCCATGAATGCATCATCACATTAGTGACATGAGTGCTAACTATAGATGATGGCAGCAATAATTGAGGAACATGCAGTAAACACCATATAAACAAAATGTGGTCAATGTAATATTTCATGCAACTCACCACATCATCTGATTCACTATCATTTTTAATTGTAAACTTTGCTTTGTGAATTCTTTTGCGACACCCTTTGCCAGTATTTATAGAGAAAGTTTCTTCTTTTCTCATTGTCTTGAGATAATAATCTTTACTATCTGTTTATACAAAATAATGGATGACTATTTAACAACTATTAAAAAATAATAATTTTCAATTGGAAGCAGTAGCATGCCTGAAATTATAAGGAAACGACCTTATGCAAAGTTTGGCCTAATGTATTGCTACATGTATTTAAGAGCAAACAAGTTAAAATCTGGGAAATAGACACATCCTTATTGTCAGTATTGTAATTGAACTATTGCTATGTAGAAGAAAGAACAACATTTGAGCAAAGGCTTTTTATCAGAAAGTACTTCCCTCCTAAAAAAGCAGTAAGTTGAATTGATAGCAGCAACCTTCATATCAACTATGACTATTTCTACAAACAAGACAGAGAAATAAACAAATAGATTTTAACACAGAAATTTACAGAAATATAGCAAAGCTAAGATGTTTCATGAAAGAAATGATAACAAAGAGAAAGAGCTTCATTCAGCTCTAGCAATTAGCTTTTTGGCTGAATTATACAAGCTTTTAGAAATTTTACAAAAAATTCTACAACAGACTAAAAATACTAACCTGAAACCTCTATTATCTTTGCAGGAAATTTCCTCGACTTGCCGTTTCCCTTTGTTTTTCCATCGCCCCAAATGACTTACGTTTTGAATCCTTTAAGTTCATCTTTGTCTTTCGACATATTTTCATCCTAAAAAATGATGTTAGAATATGGAATGATATCCCATGTATTTTCGTTGTAAAAATTCACCAATGCAAACGCCATATTTTCGAATATTATCGCTGAAAAAGGTTTTTCAACTCCTAAATTATATCCAACAAACAAGACATTCAAAAATGACCGCCTTTGAACAATAAATGTGAAGCGACTATGTGATAAATGAATACGACTATAATTGGCGATACTCGTTTGGACTTTGGGTCTATTTCCTATACACAGTTAAGCCCCGTTCACAGGGGGAAATTTTCTTTGACAAATGATATAAACAAGGATTATGTGGTTCTCTTAGTAAATCTCTTAGTTTAAATCTGTTTGTGGTTCTCTTAGTAAATTTTCCTCGAGCTTACCATTGCCATTGTCAATTTGCTCATTAAGTCTTTTCATCTGATTTTTCAGCATTTTTACCCTCACTTTGAGTTCCAAGGCTTCTTTTTTATACTTGCATTTATCATTGCAAAGTGCACTACCTTCATCTGACTGACTCTCCTAAATAATCAACAAGAACACAAACAAACAAACAAACAACATTTATATACCGGCCAGTATTAATCCCCGCCAGGGGGGTTGACCGGTCCATGAATTTTTCCACGCCACACGTCTCTATCTCTCGCCATATCTCTCGTTATACCCATCGCCTTCATATCACTGTTCACAGCATCCATCCATCTCTTTCTCGGTCTACCTCGTTTGCGTACTCCATCAACATTCATATGCAACGTTCTACGAATTTCAGCACTTTCTTCCCTCCTTTCCACATGCCCAAACCACCTCAAACGCTGGCGCCTTACCCAATTCTCGATACACTCAACACCAACTCTTTCTAATCTCTTCACTTCGAATCCTATCCATCAACGTTACACCACACATCATCCTGCATTCTCCTTTCCGTCGACGCCAATCTTCTCAGGTCCTCTGCTTTCGGCGCCCAACACTCTGCTCCATATCCCAAAACACTTCTAACACATGCCTTATACAATTCTCCCTTCTGCTTCAACGAAGTCGACTTTCCGCACAACATTCCCGACAACTTCTAAAACTCCACCACGCTGCTTGAACTCTGTTCTCACCGCTTGCTCGCACCTCGACTATCATTTAACACATCGCCCAGATATTTAAACCTGATACACCTTCCAAACTCACGTCACCCAGTTCAAACCGTTCAATCGCGACTCGCCCACCACTTCGGCACGTCCCGCACTCAAAATCAGTTACTCTTTGTCAATGCACCACGGACACCTGAACATCTTCCATGAACCCACTTACCGCATTTCCACACATTATCGAATTCACTCCTACTTTTCCCACACACACCACATGGCCATTTATCACTGTCCTTCACCTCCACCTGCCTCGAGCATCTCATGCCCTTCGTCTTTGCCTCATTCACTTTCAGTCCCTTGACTTCTATTGCCGTTTTCCATTCTCGGTACCATTCCATGACTTTCTGCTTCGACTCCGCCACCAAGACAATGTCATCTGCATACAACAAACACCAGCATCCTTCTTTTCTTCTCACTTCCTCTGTCAGTACATCCATCACACAAGCAAACAGTAACGGCGACAAGACTGAACCTTGATGAACACCAACTTTTACCTCAAAAACACCAGATCTAACACCTTCATCCATAACCACCGCCTCTACACCTTCATAAGTCTCCATAACTGCCCGAACCATATTCTCTGTCACACCTTTCTTACGCAGCGAAATAAACAAATAGATTTTCAGAGAAATAAACAAATAGATTTTACAGAGAAATAAACAAATAGATTTTCCCACAGAAATTTACAGATATATAGCAAAGCTAAGATGTTTCATGAAAGAAATGATAACAAAGAGAAAGAGCTTGATGCACTAGCAATTAGCTTTTTAGCTGAATTATACAAGCTTTTAGCAATTTTACAAAAAATTCTACAACAGACTAAAAATACTAACCTGAAACCTCTATTATCTCTGCAGGAAATTTCCTCGACTTGCCGTTTCCCATTGTTTTTCCATCGCCCCACATGACTAACGTTTTGAATCCTTTAAGTTCATCTTTGTCTTTCGACATATTTTCATCCTCAAAAATGATGTTAGAATATAGAATGATGTCCCAAGTATTTTCGTTGTAAAAATTCACCAATGCAAACGGCATATTTTCGAATATTATCGCTGAAAAGCTTTTTCAACTCTTAAAGGTCACCTGAAATGCTTGATATAACTTTGCTTCATATGAAAGCTTAGCTAATGATTAGCCTATTCGCCAAATTTGAAAGTCCAATGTTTTATATTTTATGAGATATGGTCTTCTGAATTCATGACATTGACGATTTCCGAAGGCCGAATTCAAATAGCGCGAGCGAAATTGAATTACCCAAGCTGGGGCGAGTGTGACGTAATAGCAGTGAACTCGACATTTGAATAACTGGAATGATAACCGAAGCCAAAAATTGAAGCCAAAAAAACATTTGTCGTCATCATTCGTCATTACACGTCAGGCTCTAGTCTCTCGCGTGTTCATTTTAATTTTTTTAATCATTTGTCGCTTGGTAATGGTAGAGTTCGGATCTTGATCAGAGCGTAAAAATAACGAAATTTTTGGAATGAAAAGGTTCACGGAAAGTGAATCAAAGTGATAAATCGAAAAGCAAGGTCAGGTGAACTTAGCCGATCTGCTATTACGCTGCGGTTTTCCTTTAAAATATATCAAAGTCTTTAAGGATATTCAATTATTGATATCGAGATGACAACCATTTAGTACTTGAAACACTATCAAAATCGATGAAAATGACAATCGCTTTGTAAAAAGTAAAAATGCGAGTTATAGACTCAATATTTTTTATGAAACTGGATATTCAAGTTTCTTTTTTTTCGGAAAAACAGATCTTTAAATCCACTTAAAAGACAAAAAAGACAAACACTGTCTGACACCGTTTGAAAATTTACCTTCCGATGTAAGAAAAATTTTTGCTTGAATATTTTCTCGTCATATTTTCTTATTGTGTTGTCTATTTAGCATACAGTGTAATTTTCAGTTGGCTTTTCCTCGTAACAAGTTGTAAGTTACAACGAAATCACTGTAGTAAAGTTTCAGCTGTAAAAAATAACCTTTTGCGAAGAGTTGGCCTCGTGTGTTATTTGTCGTGATGTTGTTTATATGTTTATGCTTTTGCAATTTGTATTCAAATTTATATTGGCCGTGTATGTTTGGCACTCAGGGGAATGAAACTGACGTACAAACCGCGTGAATATTCGACTTTGAAGGACTGGAACTGACGTACAAACCGCGCAAGAGACTAGGACTTTAGCTTCAATTTTATATCTATAAAATGTATTGTCGTTATCATTCCAGATATATATATATATGGAGTTCACTGCGTAATAGTTGCCATTGCATGTAATAGTTGCCATTTTTGTTTTTGCTGCTACTATTAATGCGTGTTTATCTCGATGTCTTCAACGGAGGAAGAAGTCGAATTTGACATCGAATATATTGCTACGGAGGTCCAGCCTTACATGTTTGAACCGCTAGCTAGTAGCAATAATGTTGAAACTGACGAAGATCTGTCTTCGTCGTCGTCAACGGACAGCTCATCTGACGAATATACTCACAGGATTGGAAATACAAACTGGTGCGTTGCTTTTTCATGATTAACATTTCAGATCGCGTCATAAAATTCTTTTCTTTATTTTAATGGCAGGTGTGAGTGTGGACACTGTGTGGCGATGACAACCGGCCGGGAAAGCATTTGTTGCCATGAGGAACCGAAGACAGACCCTAAAATTCATGGTGACCATTTATGCATCACAGAAGAACAAGAGTTTCACATGGTCTGCATCAACGAAACAGTCGTTAGAACAGCTATGGTTGTATTCGTTCACGATCACGGGGCAATACCAGACGCTCCAGAAACCGAGTCAGTTTCAGCTTTTTTGATATCTCCTCATATATCGACAATAATTTGCTTATGTTTGATTTTGTTTTGTTTCCCAGAACTTTGCGTTACACTGCCTATAGGCAATGGACAGCATGGATACATGGAAGCTTGGCAAGAAATATCGACTTCCTATACCATCCTGTGCTGTTAAAGAAATAAGGAAAGCATTTCCTTCACCTTCTGGCATATATAAAGGCTTTGAATATGCACAGCATTTATAAATACCTGTGAGTGTTAGACTTCAGTTTAGTTAAGATTGAATCGTGAAGTATGTTGTTGCACTGCTGTTACTTTATCAACTTTTCAACTCTACTAGTCAGTGGATCTGGTATTTTTTGTTGTCTTTCTGTTGCAATTGCTTGGTTTAAACTGGAATTAGCATGTCTGCACCTTATCACTTCCTCCATTAGTTGTTTCACATAGTCTGTAAAACAGGGGGAGAAGAATTAAACTGAGAAGTGCAAGAAATGTACCATCAGTAGAACAATTATTTGGCTTTTGAGTGCTAAAACTTGTCCTTACCATAAGTACTATCAATTTTAACACCTTTGATGACTCCACATGACTGTCTTGATTTGGGGTGAGACACTTTCCACATTAATTCCCATTTTCTTTTTACGCCTTTGTTCTTTACTTCCATTTTCATTGAAATGGAGAGCAGCAATCAGTAATCTAAAAATTTAATTTTACTTTTTAGTGTGCCACCTTGCAATCATTTTCAGTATGAAAACAACATTGTTTATTGTTTGTTTACCTAGCTTGCATTGCCTTGTAAAAGAAATGTGTATGCTTTGGTGCATATAGTATAACAACTCGATGAAAACCTTAAAGAGCTGATGTTTGTTTCTCATGGCTGAGCTTCCCAATATCTTTCATGAGATACCTGTTTTCAACAATTGATGCCAATTCAGTAAATGCTCTAGATCCTTGGAAAAAAGATAGAAAATTTTATGGTGCCCATTTATGTCATATGTTGACAAATAACACCACATTGTGGCATTGGCTGGCAATTGAAGTTTGTTGATAAAGAAAGTATCAATTACTGTAAATAACTATTATGTCTTATACCAGAGCATTTACAATTAATTTGTACCTTTCTTTATCCATAAGCGAGGCTCAAGAGTACCATGCTCACATTTTGGAAATAATTCACTATGACCATCATGAATGTTGCAAATGTGATTCAGCAATGATAGCCATTTAGCCTTAAGTAGTTTCTCATCACCACCACTACTTGCAGCACACCAGTAGACATGGTTAGATATTGACTGTGCCCAATCAAGTAGCAATCTACATCCACTCTTCTTACCGGCTGCCATTACCTTTTTTTTGATACCTGTAGAAAAAAATAGACACTGCACATTCATAGTTTCTACCCCCCCTAAATTTAGGGGGGTCTTGGAATTTTCAAAAATGCCTTCTAGGGGTGGGTCGAAAAAATTTTGAATTTCTAGGGGTGGGTTATAAACTAGGGGTGGGTATGTCTATGTAGGGGTGGGTTCCGAGATTTTCCCTATTAGAAAAATTAAAAAATAGATGAAATGCATCTATGATAAAAAAAGTTAATAACTTCAAAGTTCAACATCACTCAATTTTTGCCCCCATGTTATTGCATCATCTATCTTCATATTACCCTATAAGGGACCAAAAATATCTCCCTAATTTGACACCATGTTATTGCATCAGCCATTGGCGAGTTTGGTAAACTTGCTTGATTGACAATATTTGTGAATACATAGCTTTATCAGTGTTGTATATAGTATGCACAGAGAGACCATAAATAAGTCTAAAATCAGCTTTCCCATAGAAAAAAATGAATTTTTTTTTCGGCTCGTATGTAGGGGTGGGTAAGGAAATTTTGGACCCAAATGTAGGGGTGGGTTACCAATTTGGGGTGGGTATGTCTATGTAGGGGTGGGTTCCAACCACACTAGAAACTATGACATTGGTTAAAAAATTGTAATGCAAAACATAGCAATAATTGATCAAAATATCATGAAATTAAATGCAATTAGAAAACTGCATTGCATTCCCTTACCACTTTGTCAGTTTGTGTTCCATTGTCACTTATGTTACATTTATCTCTTGAGTCCAGTTGTCCACTCAAAAAAAACGAACATGTTTTTGATGTATTTTCGTCCTCGTCAGGCTGCTCAATGTTTTCCACAGAGTTCTCAAGAGCTTCGTTTATTATCTGAATTGTATATGCGTTTTTTTAAAGTAATGCACTATAATTACATTAAAAACTGCTTGGCTACAAGACTTTACCTCTAATTTCCTGCGCTTTGCATACGCGTTTCTAGTTGCCTCCGGTTTCCGTTTATCACCAACTTTCGACCTCGAATAGTCGAAGATCGTTGGTATTGCGTCTTTCTTTAACCTTAACCTGGTTGGTCGCCATCCTAAAGATTTCAGGAGTCCGGGGTTTTGGACAAAACAGCAGGCTTCAAAGTGTGCCGAACAGAGCTTTGACCTTTTCGAAGGATTCCAATCTTTCCTTTTCACCTTATCGACCCATGCTTGGCGTAAAGGATTTTTAGCGGGGAAACTGAAAACCCAACTTTTCCGCCTTAGATTGGTTCTTAGAAGAACCGTTTTTGCAGTTAAATGCCACACAGTAAACCATCTTAAAATAGCCGATCAAAATCAAACTTTATTTATGAATTCATATTTGCCGCTTTCTCGCGCGAAATGTCAATGGCAACTATTACGTCACGCCGAGTACTTTCCGACGATAAGCCGACGGAATATTTTTTACTTCTATTCAAAAAAAACACAAATTCACACGTTGATATCTCTTGAAATAATCATGGGATTGTTTTCAAATTTTCTTTGAATAGTCTACGCAATATATACATTTTATATGTCAAATAAACAGAAATATGAATTTTGCATTTCAGGTGACCTTTAACGTATCTTTGCAACAAGCAACTTGTTAATCAGATTGAAGATCATGGAATCGGGTAAAGATTAAGGATTACAAAATAACAGTCCCAGTCTCCCAACGCTCTCGTCTAAATCTAAACAGAATAGTTTGAAACAATATTGAAACAAAGCAAAGAAAAGATTTTTGTTTTTATAAGTTGAGGTAAGCCTGGTGTTTCCGCGTTTCAAAAACCCATGTTAAGCGTTCATGAAAATACCCTGAAGTAAACATTAAAAATAGCTTATGAAAATACGGTCGAATTATCAATTATCCGAGAAATACGAAGAAGTTATGGTTCTCAGTGAAGTGGGGGATGCTCTAGGTTATAAAAATGGTTTGTGGGAATTCTGTTACAGTGGTACTCAAATTCATGAAGAACTAGAAAAACTCGGAGGACTTGATAAAATTGACATTAAAGGATGGAGGCTTAGTGACGACACTGTACTATACATTGCTACAGCAGAAGCGTTGGTTCCTGAATGGACAACAACGGAAGAGTTATTGAGCATTATGGATAAAAAGTACAAGACATTTGCTGAGGATATGTGGGAAAGAGCTCTTATGCGGACCACAACAAAGGCATGTTTCATGTTACGACCTCTTGAGGAAAAAGGTTACATTATACCATTTAATGAACGAGGTGGCGGATGTGGTGCAGCTATGAGATCCATGTGTATAAGTTTCATCTTTCCTTGTGAAGATGAAATTGAAATGGTAATTGAAATTGCTGTTGAAAGTGGAAAGATGACTCATAATCACCCCACAGGTATTCACCATTCATAATAAAGCAACGATTTCAGATCATGTCTCAATTTTCAAGTCACTAATGTCTTGTGTTTTGTCTATTAACAAGTGTTGCTTTGTATAAAGTTTGCTAGGTTTTCCTGTTATCTGCATTTCTATTCATTTTGACAAACCTTTATAGTAATTTAGCTTTTCAATCCTTTTGCTTTTCTTGGATGTTTTATCTTCAACTCTTCCTTCGATTACTTACTTGAACAAGCCATTACCATGAATGTTTCATATCCTTTTATCTAATATCAATTTATAAATGAAATAAAAGATGGTTGACCTTAGGTTTGCATAAGTCTATTTAATCCATCATTTTCGAGAACGACATCTCAAATCCTCCATCCTTCTAATATTCTTGCTTTTAATCACCATATCTTTGATCTGTCCTTTTTATCGCTTTTCCACATTTCCAAATTTCTGTCTTCTAAAAGTTGTTTGAATTGCCATTGCAGTTCTTGCTTTTATATCTTCACTACTAGAGCCATTGAATCCATGATTCATGTCAAAATGCCGCTATTATGTAAATAGGGTCATCATAATGTAAGTGACTTGAAATTAGCAATCTTTAAAGATAATGATTTTAATTATAGGTTATCTTGGGGCTATTACTGCAGCTTTATTTACAGCTTACGCTATACAGAAGATACCTCCAAAAAGTTGGGGATCAGGACTTTTAGGTGTTTTACCCAAAGTTTGGGAATACATTGAGAAGGTTGGTCGTGATGTAGAAGAAAACAAGAAATCTTGACACTACTTTAAAAATAGTTGGGAGTCATATCTTGAACTACGGGGATTAATGAATGAAACCAGTGAACAAAAGTTTCCAGTGACATATAACATATCTGAACGTGATGCTTTTTATAAATCTGTAAGTTGTGCAGGTTGGGGTGGGTCCAGTGGTCATGATGCACCAATGATTGCTTACGATGCTTTGATGATGGCAAAAGATTCCTGGTTTCAATTTCGTTCTTTCTTTATCTTTCATGGTGGAGATAGTGACAGTACAGGAATATTGGCTGCAGCATGGTGGGGTGGTATATAGTATGAAAGAGGTACCCCTTGGAAATTATAAGTACTTGGAATATGGTCATAGGCTTATGGAGCTAGGTAAAAAATTACTGAATGTATCAAAGAATATGAAAAACTAACAGGACAGTATTTATTTAAGAAAATTTATGTCATAAAATTCTGTTATCCCAATATACTTTAGTATGTTTGTGAATCATACAATAAAAATTACTACTTGGTTATAACATAACTGGGCTGTAGAGTAAGTTTATTGACAAGATATCAGTGAAACTATATATAGACAAGGACCATTACATCTTTAGGTTCATTTACCTCACAAAATGCAAACTGCAAACGTTTTGTTCATTACCAAAAATACCTTCTCAGGGAGAGGGGAGTTGACTTAAAAATAGGCTTAACATAATTTAGAAGGCACAATTTTCTTTGAAACACGTAGCTACCAAAGAGTTACTGTAAAGCGTTGTTATATTCACCAGTTTCATAATACATCACAACTAGATTGTTTAAAAGACTTAGCGACATCAACCTGACTAGTTCCTAACGTTTTTTTGCGAATTTCCTTAGCTTTTTTGTGAAATTCTATTGCTTTTTCGTAATTTCCAGTTTTATTATACACCAAACCAAGATTCTTTAAAGACTGAGCGACATCAACATGATTTGGACCTAACGATTGTTTTCGAATTTCCAGAGCTTTTTCGTGAAACTCCATAGCTTTGTCGTAGTTTCCAGTTTCATATAACACCACACCAAGATTGTTAAAAGACGTAGCGACATCAACATGATTTGGACCGAACGATTGTTTTTGGATTTCCAGAGCTTTTTCGTGAAACTCTATAGCTTTGTCGTAGTTTCCAGTTTTGTATAACACCAAACCAAGATTGTTTAAAGACGCAGCGACATCAACATGATTTGGACCTAACGATTGTTTTCGAATTTCCAGAGCTTTTTCGTAAAACTCTCTAGCTTTGTCGAAGTTTCCAGTTTTATGTAACACCACACCAAGACTGTTTAAAGACGTAGCGACATCAACATGATTTGGACCTAACGATTGTTTTTTAATTTCCAGAGCTTTTTCGTGAAACTCCATAGCTTTGTTGTAGTTTCCAGTTTTATATAACATCACACCAAGACTGGTTAAAGACGTAGCGACATCAACATGATTTGGACCTAACGATTGTTTTCGAATTTCCAGAGCTTTTTCGTAAAACTCTCTAGCTTTGTCGTAGTCTCCAGTTTTATATAACACCATACCAAGATTGTTTAAAGACATAGCGACATCAACATGATTTGGACCTAACGATTGTTTTCGAATTTCCAGAGCTTTTTCATGATGATTTTTAGCTTTGCTATATTTTCCGGTGTCATGGTATAAAACACCGAGGATATTAAAATACCAAGCTTTGTCATAACTAGATTCTTCTGATTTAAATTTATCCAATAGTTCAAGAGCAAGATCGTATTTTCCAAAATGTCTTAATCTGCCAACAAAATATTGGAAAACTTGTAAAGTGTTCATGTTGATTTTTGTCTTGTTGGTCTTTAATAATTGAACAATTTTTTCAAGATGTGGCATTAATTTGATTTCGTCGTCTCTCTCTTTAAACGTGTAAAGTGCTTCAGATATTTGATCAACGTTAGTTTCCATTTCATGTTCTTCATTTGAATGTTCAGATTGATAAACAGTAATTGCTTTGTGAACAATGCGATGTAGACTAAGGTCATTATTTTCTGAATGCAAGAACAATGAGCAGTCCTTTAAAGAAAGACATATATCTTCCTTTGAGTGTTTGGGATCTATTTTTTGAACATAACAAATAATCATGTCTCGTGGTATAGGATCAAACGATATCACGGAAAACAAGTTAATAACATTTGCCAATAATGACGATTCTTTAAATGAGATATGATCTTCGCACTTAGCTGGACAATTTAAGCAATCGTCTCAGGACCTGAAAAAATCAGGTGACTCAACGGGATTCGAACCCATGACCTCTGCGGTGCCGGTGCAGTGCTCTGACCACTGAGCTATGAAGTCACACAGTGGTGAGCAGGTCAATATTGTTGGGCTCATGTTTTCTCGTGAAATGAATGTCATATGAATGTTTTATGCAGTGCGGTGTTATGAAATTAAATGAGATATGATCTTCCCACTTAGCTGGACAATTTAAGCAATCGTCTCAGGACCTGAAAAAATCAGGTGACTCAACGGGATTCGAACCCATGACCTCTGCGGTGCCGGTGCAGTGCTCTGACCACTGAGCTATGAAGTCACACAGTGGTGAGCAGGTCAATATTGTTGGGCTGATGTTTTCTCGTGAAATGAATGTCATATGAATGTTTTATGCAGTGCGGTGTTATGATTCTTCTGCATTTTGTCTGACAGCTAAAAGTGAAGCTTGTAACATACTTCTAGGATAAACCGAGTTAAATTTAACAAAAGTGGCGTCCATGTTTTCTTGTTCTTCTGAAGAACTTTTCTTTAAATATTGTCTCCAAGTAAATGAGCAGTTTGCTTTGTTTACACGACTGACATAATAACCAGCAGCAGCCAAAGCCAGCGTTTGACGATCTAATGCGTGCGATACTTCATTCAACAATTGATCATCAGCATGTTCAATAGTATAATGCTTCAACAGTTGTCATTCCACTTTGATAGAAATATGTTTGTTAAACTCATCGTCTTGAGGTACGGCATCTGTGTTCTGGATAGTTACTATGATTTGTCCATTTATCCACATGGGATCACCAACTTGGGGAAGTAACGAAGAAATTTTACTGAGCTGTACCACGTTGTCTACAATGATCAACCAAATTTGCCAGAATTTTAATCGTGTGGATACTAACCATCGCAAATTCTTCACTTTGTCTGTGATGGAACAGTTTTCATCTTCAAATTTTTTAATCATATACTTGTCACAGTTTAAACGGTATCCAAGTTCACAGTAAGTTTTTACAAGAGATTCCTCATTTTTTCCATCGAGAGTCATTACAAACGAAGTTTTATTTTTCCAATCACACGATAATTTTTCACAAACCTGTCTTGCAAGTTGTGATTTACCACAGCCAGGATAACCACTGATGTAAAAATATGTCAGTTTATCATTGTTATCATTCCTTAATTTTTCAAGATCGTTTATAATTTTATCTCGTAATTCAGTGCGTTCAACGAAAAAATGATTAGGTTTTGAAGGAAGAACTTGGAATAATTAAACTTGTTTCGATTACTTTTTATTTCATTGATTCCATCGAGGGAAAATTTCAAATCTTGAAATGATTTTTCAATGATATTGACTATTTCATCAAAATCATCATCTGAGCATTCCCTTTCATACCAATGTGCGTACTTGTTTCTTTCACAACGAAGTGCATGAACAGCATCCTTTGTTTTTTTGTCAAGATGCTGTCCAATTGAATTTGAAAAAAGTATAGCATCAAATAATATCGTACAGTCCCACTTACTGGTGTCTCCATCCTGATATTTTAACTTTAGTTTTTTATCAAACTTTCTACCCGATTCTAAAGTGCAAAATTTTTTGCCACTATTTTTGGTATCATCCCATTCTCCATGTGTTGATTTGTAACGAGAGTTCCATTCTTTGATGAAAAATTGAGCAAGTTCCGTTTGTACCACAATGATTATTTGCTGAATGTAAGACAGATTTCTTGTTCCTCTTGATTCCATTTGTACAAAAATTCAACATGATATATCAACATGACTATAATCAAGAAATTCCAAAAATTAAATATACAACATATGACATTTGAAATATACTTGTTTTGCAATAATTTGTAACAAATGAAACATTGTCTTGATAGCACAATTGTGTTTTCCATTAGCTATGAAGATTGACCTGTAATGGCAAAAATTCTTTTTTAATTTTTAAAAAACCATGAATTGTTTACTAAGACTTGTCAATTTAAGATAATAATCAAATTTAAGCTAAGGTAAACGATTAACTATATAATTAGTAAATTGTATGTGGAAAAAAATTTTACTTTGCATTAATAAAACAATGCGTTTCGCTTGGTGGATCTTTAACGTGAAATGTAAATAAGCTCAGAAAAACTATGATAGTAAGCCGTAAGCTATCCCTATGATATGCTACTCAGAGAAAAAACAAGATACAGGAGCTTCTAGCCGTCTTGGTAAGAGAGGAAAGATTGGATGTGTGCTATTGTCAACGGACAGCAGCTTTTTACTGACCCTACTTTCAGTTTTATCTAAATCAAAACTTAGACAAACATTGTTTATGTAAACATATGCATCATTTGTTGGACAGTTTCCAGGAACGTAAAAACATAAATTGCTTTTTTCAAACGTACAATATGTTGAAAACGATGGATATGGATTAAAAGAAGTGTGTAGAAATTATTTTTTAAGAACAATAAGAGTGGCCATGAAGCGACATGAGAATGAAAGCCAGAAGGAGAAGAAAGTAAGACTGATGTTATCTTGTATAAAAAAGAGCGGGCATTTAAAGGACATAATGAATCTATCTCTTGCTCAAATCAAGACAACTATAGAAAGTTTTCAAAACCATTAGGTAAATTTTATTCTGTTTTTAGTGATTCCTTGCATGCCAGACTACTTGAGTAAGAACGTGGTGATGCAGAAGATGTTTTCAATAATGTATCAGATGATGTGCTGAATATTTAATTTAGATTGTCTATATTGACGAAGTTATTTAAGGTAAGATTGATGGAAAATCAGGATTTCCCGTTTCTACTTATTTAATGAGATAAAACTTTGCACGTAAGTTAAAAGGAAAAAATAATAGAAATTGGGCAATTAATATGCGTTTGTACAGTACCGCTCGCGTATTTGTTAACATACGGTACGCGTATGAAACGCGTATGATACGAAAATCATACGCGTATTATACGAGACCGATACATGTATGATACGAAGAGGATAAAATTATGTTATCAAATACGCGAGCGATACTGTATCTGAAAAGTATTAATTTGTTTGATCATGTGAATGGATCTGTTGAAATCCTACAAGACGCGTCTCATCAGGTGAAGCGAGCATTTAGAATTGCTTCGAAGAAACGATGGACATACAGCGAAAGAGACATGGGATATTTTAAGAAATCAGTTTTCCACAACTTCTATTTCGGAAGACTACAAGCCGGAAGACTAAAAGCCGCTGTTATAGCTTTAGATGCGATTGGAGAAAAATCTTATCAAAACGTTGAAGGAATTTTACAGAATGATGCAGATCAAATACTAAATACCAAAAAGATGAAAAGACTCACGCTGCTCACTGATCATTTAGGGTGAAAGGAAAAAAAGGACTACAGCAAAAACAAAAATGAAAACCAGCATTCTTATCAATGAATATGTCACTCATGAAGACACTTTACACGATATGTTCTACAAAGAAATAACAATTTAATCTGTTATTTTCACTACGAAGGAAAAAAGTCAGCACATTGTGCAAAAAAGATGATCAAGAAAATATTGATTAGATGGCGCTTATCACAAATAAAAAAGAATAGATTTGATTGGATAATTAATTCTGGTGCCACTTAGCATATGACGTTTGAACATGACTATTTATCGGACTATGAAGAGTTGAAAAAGCCAACGAAAGTAATTCATGGGGATGAACGTTTATTATTGGTTTATGGGATAGGAACTTACCGCTTGGCCATTGATTTATATAAGTCACATCAACGTAGCGTAATCTGGGGCAAAGTGCAACATTTCCCATTGAAAATGAAATATCTGAGCCGTTAAACGAAGCTTAAGATTAAGAGTCAGTCAGTGGCTTCTCCGTGATGTATGTCATGTACGAAAAGTAAAATTTAACACATTTTTTAAAACGGAATAAGTATGGCGGCCGTCAAATGAAGACAGTTTGCAAGCAAATTTTAATTCGTTCGACAAAGTTCTGTTGGGTTAACAGGTATTTCGAATAATTTTGCTTAATATAGGGGGGTGGGTTCAGTTGCGTGCTAGAAACACTCCAGGGGGGGCAATCAGCTACCACTGAAAATGGGCCACAAATATATACATTTTAAAATCGAGCCCCAAAGCCTGAGCTGAGAACCTAAGGTGTGAGTCGTGTTTGGGGAGTCCGAGGTAAATACTCTCAGGGAAAATTCCTGATTAAGCTCTAAAATGCCATTTCCTGGATTTTGGGGAGTGAAATCATACTAACTGTATAATGCCAAATGCGTTTCTCCAACACAATTTTAAAATTTAACGCCCTTATTCATTTCAGCGCCTCCCAAAAATCAACAGCTGAGGGAGCCACGGCCCCTGCTCCTCCCCCCTTTTAGCACGCAACTGAGAGGATTTTGGTAATTTCTCCACAGTTTTATAGTTTGGATGTTGTTGCTTAAACTGAAACATCGTTTTATTAAAGAATGCCTTTAACAATCATATTTGAGATTTTAAATACCGTACTACCTTGGGGAAAGTGAGACTGTCGCCATATTGAGTAATGATCATAAGATTTTATGTGTCTAGCATACCTTAATTTGTGTTTTTTCGTGTATGTTGTAAATTTGAATCGACTATAAGGCCAATGAAAAATATTTCCTCAAATAGGTTTAATTCTTTGCTTCAATATTGACTGCACCATATTGGAATAAGTATTTGAAATCTAATTGTAGGAACTTATGTAAATAAGTAATTGATAATTGTTATTTGATACTTGAAACTTATGGAAAAACGGAAATAGGAACTTATGTTAATACTTTATTAGTTGTGACACGTTAAAAGTGAAGGTTCTTCTGTCGCTGGCTGTTAATGTAAAAGCTTGAAATGTTTAAGATTATCTGTGAACTGTGATGCGGAATAGCTATATTGAGTAAAATTGAGAATTGTGTGTCGACTGCGCGTACAGTAGGATAGTATACAGTCCCAAAAACGAATCAGCAGACGCATAACTGCTTTGTGATAACGTGCAAAGGAGAAAATTGCTACACATGGTCTTCGGATTGGAGATATTTTAGTTGGAGATTTATTTAGAAATTGAAGTTTGTTAGTTCAATAGCACAATGGATGAATTTATGAGAAAGAAACGAGTGCGAGCAGGACATAGAGGATCAGTGAGGAAAATTGCTAGTAAATTAAAAGAGAAAATACGAGAAACGGACGGCGAGATTGATAGAAATGAACTGAGACAACTACGAGATGGATTAAACAACAAGATCGCAACATTAAAAATCCTTGATGACGCGATTATCGATATGCTGAGCAAAAGCAATGAGGAGAATGCAGAAGAAGAATTGGGAAAGGAAATTGAAGTTGCGGACAAGATACGGGCAGAACTCGAGCAAGTATTTTTGGATGTGAACGACATCGTCAAAGAGTCTAATGTCACAGTTGAAATGGCAACAACAACATTAAATGGCACGCTGAACAGCAGTTTGAGCAGTGAGACGCGCAGAGTTATAAGAGCAAAACTCCCAAGAAAGTAAAGAAATTTAGCGGACAGCTGCAAGAATGGCAAGAGTTTTGGGACTCTTTTGATAGTGCGGTGAATAATAATGACGGATTGGCTGACGAAGGCAAGTTTGCATATTTAAGGAGTCTTCTACTCGAACTTGCAAGATCGACAATATCGGGATTTCCCCTAATTTCAGCGAACTATTACGAAGCTGTAGAATTGTTGAAACGAAGATACGGGAAATAGAACGTGAGCAAGAAAGCGCATATCCAGGAGTTAATGAACGTAAAACCCGTAACGTACAAAGGAGACATCGACAAGCTTGGGCGGTTATACGACACTTGCAAGACAAGCTACTGCGGTTTAAAGGCCTTAGGAGTGGACAAAGCCGTATATTCTTCAATCGTAGTACCGGAAGTCGTTGCGAAGTTGCCGAACGCATTTCGATTGACAATAACAAGAGGATTCGATTTCGTGGAATGGTCAATGAAAGATGCGTTGAACGAAAAAAAAGTTGGAGCTTCGAGAAGCTCACACACCGATCGGTGAGAAAACCAAGATACTGGATGGGAAGAAACAGCGAGAAACGTCGCGACAAAGACATATGGGGTCAGCATCAACACTGAACGCGAAGCACGAGTTTCAAAGAGGAGTCAAGGAACAGTAAAGCGAAAAGAAAATACGTTTATTGTCTCGGGGAACAAAATCCACTTAGTACGGCTGAAAAGGGAACAGAAATTTTAGAAGAGTATGACAAGACAATCCAAGATTAATTAAGGAGGGGTATTATAGAACCAGTGATAGAACTAGAGAAAGCTGATAAAATACATTATTCACCACATCATGCGGTTACTCGCAGGGAAGCAAAAACAACAAAGGTAAAAGTTGTTTATGATGCGTCGTGTAAAGAGTCACCCAAGGCTTCCTTGCTCAATGACTGCTTGCATGTGGGACCCAAATTAGCACCATTGCTCTTTCATAGTTTGATAAGGTTTAGAGAGAAGAGAGTCGCTTTAGTGGCAGATATTGAAAGGTATTTTTGAATATAGAAGTTGATACTTTGGAAAGAGATTGCCTAAGATTTTTATAGGTTGATGATGTAAACAATGGGAGGGTGAAACCTGTAGATTACCTTTTTGGAGAGTAGTGTTTGTGTTAACTGCTCTCCATTTTTGTTAAATGCAACACAGCAGTATAATTTAGACTCATTCATAGAGATAGACAAGTAATTTGTTACAAAACTCAAAGATGGCTTTTATGTCGATGATCAAGTGTCCGGTGAACAATCCAAGAAAAAGGTAATGAGGTTGTATGAGTCAGCAAGTGAGCGATTGGCCGCGGGAGGATTTAGGAATAGGAAGTAGCTAAGTAATGATGAGAATGTTTTGAAAGAAATAGAAGCGAGAGAAAGAAGCATTTTAGAGAAAAGAAGGGCAGAATTTAGTAATTCGACAGTGGTTGATGAGCAAACTTATGCCAAAGCATCAGTTGGGGAAAATAGTATCTGTGGAAGTTTTGAGAAAGTACTAGGATTGGGATGGGACTTCGGTATTATAAATCCAGTTGTAGTTTGTGCTGAGTTTTTGTTTTAGGAGCTGTGTATTGAGAAAGCTGAATGGGATAATAAGCTGGAAGGTGACAAGAAAAAACGTTGGGAGAGGTAGATAGAAGATTTAGAGAGAGTCAGGGACTTAGTAGTGGCGAGATGTGTGTATGGTAATTTAAATGGTTAGGTAAAGTGTTACTTGCATGGGTACACAGATGCCAACCAAAAGGCATACAGTGCGGTTGTATGTTTTGTGACAGAGCTAAACGGTGCCTACCACGTAGAGTTGCTTACGTCGAATACAAGGATAGCGCTAATAAAATTGCAGACAGTTCCCAGACTAGAACTGATGTCAGCTAGAATATTAGCACAGTTGATGAACACAGTGAAGTTGGCCTTAGATGGTTACGTTCAATTTAATGGTACATACTATTGGTTGGACAGTAAGACTGCATTGTGCTGGATCGGTAATAGGGGCGAATGGAAACAGTTTGTGCGCCATAGAGTTAACGAGATTTTAAAATTGAGCAGGTAGGATAATTGGAAACATTGTCCGTGTGTAGACAATCCTGCGGACTTAGGTTTATGGAGATTTACGGCATCACAATTCAAGGAAAGTGAACTTTGGCGATGGTTGTTTTTTGAATTGTATGCGAAGACTTACTGCTAGAATGGGAGCACCCTTGCTAATAGTTTAGGACAACGCCAAAACATTTAAAGCAACTGAGAAAGCGTTGAAGGGGATTTATGGAAGTAAGGAGGTAAAATCATGATTGGAGGACAATCAGTTGAAATGGAAGTTTAATTTGGCGAGGACACCCTGGTGGGGTGGATTTTTTGAAAGAATGAAAGTATTTGGGAAAGGTTGTCTGAGGAAGGAGTTGGGTAACGTTAAACTGAACAAGGAAGTACTGTTAACAACATTAGTTGAGGTACATGGTACGTTAAACTCTAGACCATTGACTTATGTATTTGAAGATGAAGTGAATGTAGATTTACTGACTCCTGCACATCTTATGTTTGGAAGAAGATTACATCTATTCCCGACGAAAGGATTCTGCATACTATTAATGACGAAGATGCAGGAGTGGTCAAGCGTAGGTTAGGGAATTTAGCGAGATTGAGAAAGCATTTTTGGTCCAGGTGGAGGAAGGATTACTTAACAAGTTTAAGGAAGTGTCATAAGGTCGGCAAAGTAAAGGGTTGTTTGTGTCCGAAAGTAGGTGATGTAGTTCTTGTGTTTAAGAAAAGCTTGAAAAGAGGATTTTGGAAAATAGCAAGAATTGAGAGATTGGTCAAAGGAAAAGATAATATAGTCAGAGAAGCGAAAATCAAAGTTGTTAGCAAGGGAAAGCCACTGTACATAAGCAGGCCTCTTCAGAAACTGTATCCACTAAAGATGGATGCAAAGGTAAGTATAGAAAATTCAGCGTCCTACATGTAAAAAATATTCTCATGTTATTCTTCCTACCCATACTCTTGAACAGGTTTTACTGTTTTTCCCTACCATGCAGTATATGTTCAATAGTTAAAAAGTTGGTATATCAAATTAGATCTGATTTCTCATGCATGTTTATTTATACTTCATCTAGTTGTTTCCTTAGCTAATTTATTAAGTCCGTAATGTAGATATAAATCTCGCTTTACTTTTGTAAAATTACCTTTGTTGTAGAAGTAAGACTTTATATATGACGACCGTGTAGACAAAATTAAGCTTGCTTTAGTTCTTTACATGTCACATACCTAACAAAAGATGAGAAATTTAATATGAAGAACGCGACCACATACATATCAGTTTAGAAATGATAATCATTGATGATGAAAATAATTAATGCCTTATTGTTACATCAATCTTTTATTCATGTAAGTCTTGTTACATAAACACATTCAAATAGTGAACGAAGATGAAGAGTGAGTCAGGATCTCCTTCAACAAACAGTATTATAAAACATTATTGACGTCTTTAAGAACAACGGTTATAGAAATAAAAATACATAAATAAGAGCCTCATGCAGAGTACATAATAACATTGAAATGATCAAATTCCAAAGGACTACTTTAAATAATACAAAGTTTAACAAGTTTAAATTCAGGAATAAAGGATCACCTTTCTAAAACAGGATTTGAATGTAAATGATTAAGACACAATTTTTGAAACTTTAAATCGATTTTTCACTTCGTTAATCAAAAATTCTATACATGTATATTATTGCATAAGTCAGATCTTATGATAAAAAACCTTTGTTATTGAATAAACCATTGTAAATTATGAATACATGGTAAACATCAACTGCACGCAATTATAATTACTTATGATCAATAAAGACACTGTAGATACAACAGTAAAGGTTGCAATGAAAGTAAACCTTAAAATTAATCAAACATGATCAAAAGTATAAATTTAAAAGCTAACTGCGTTGCATAAATAAACATTTCCCAAAAATAGATTTAGTTGCGTTCTTTTTCTGTGTAAATACATTCTTTCTGTGTTCAGATAGGGTTGTATTAATAACCATTTAAGATATTTGCGTACTATGGAAAAGGCTGCATTTAGGTTATTTTGGCAAAATGACCTGGAGATAGAATCTTAACTGTCTAGGGTTCAGAATATTTTTCTTTTGAATACGTTTTCCTTTGCGATTGTTGCTCTTGATCAAGTTAAATGCAATAGAGGTTGTGTTTTGTTTTAATGGAAACATTTTTCACATTGCCTTCTCGGAATGCCGACTCGAGAACACTTTTCAGTTTATTATTCAGGTTTCTGCTTCTTAAGAAACATTATCAATACAGCCTAGAAATCTACGTTGAACTAAAAATCATCAACCAGAATGAATGTTGTTATGCTGCTTTGTTAGTATGTACGGAGTATGTAAAAGTGACAGATTTCAATATTTAATCATTCTCTTTGTGCATTAGACGACAAATTTTTGAAGATTTAAACGCAACTTGTTTTTATAATCACACTTTAAACTAAAAGCAGTAAATTTACACTTTATTATTAAAACAACGGTTGTGCTTGAAGTTCTAGTGAACTATTTAAGAAGTATTTTTAACTGCAACATTCAAAATATTGTTTGAAACGTCAAGCATTCGTCGCGTACTTATTGACGTAAAGTAATGTATTTGCCAAGATACAACAGTAAAGGTTGCCATGAAAATAAACCTTAAAACTGTGATACATGATCAAAATATAAATTTGAAAGCTCACTGTGCTGCATGAATCAACATTTCACAAAAATAGATTCGGTTGCGCTCTTTTTCTGTGTAAATGCATTCTTCCTGTGTTCAACATTTGCTTATTGAACAAATGTTCTTACTTTTAAAATGAATGGTTTGCTTAATACAACTAACAACATTTTGTTAGACACACAGCGATTAGTCTAACAAAATGTAGGTGATGCATGATTGGACATGCTATCCCCTCTACATAAATTTTCACAGATTCCCATTTTTTCCTTAGACAAGTATGCTATTTCACCTCTCCCATACCTTTGAACAGGTTTTGCTTTCCTTTACCATTCAGCTTATTGTCAATAGTTAGAAAGTTGGTATTTTGATTTAGATATGATTTCTCGTGCATGTTTAGTCCTAAATTATCGAGATGATTCAGTAGCAAAGTTGTTATGTAAAGTTAGTAATATAGTTTCAGAATCTCGCTTTACTTTCGACAAACTACCTACATTTTAGAAATAAGACTTCATACATGACGACCGTGTAGACAAAATTATGTTTGCTTTAGTTCTTCACATTTCACATACCTTACAATGATGAGAGATTTAATATAAAGAACGCGACCACATACATATCACTTTAAAAATGGTGATCATAAATTATACCTTATTGTTACATCAATCTTTTACCATTTAAGTTTTGTTACATAAACACATTTAAATAACAAACGAAGATGAAGAGTGAGTCAGGATCTCTTTCAACAAACAGTATTATTAAACATTATTGACATCTGTGTAGAACTTTCTAGTGATATAACTAAGTATACATCACTGACTAAAAACAATTATTATAGAAATAAAATATATAAATAAGAACCTCATGCAGAGTACATAATACATTGAGATTAGTCAAATTCCAAAGGACTACTGCTAAATCTTATAAAGTTTCACAAGTTTTAACTCAGGAATAGAAAATCGTCTATCTAAGACAGGATTTGAATGCCAATGATTAAGACACGATTTTCGCAAGTGCGGATGGATTTTTTCCTTTATTAATGAAAAATTCTATACATGTATATTTTTGCATAAGTCAATTCTTATTATAAAAAACCTTTGTTATTTAATAAGCCATTGTAAATTATGAATACATGGAAAACATCAACTGCACGCAATTATATTTACTTATGATCAATAAAAACAATGTAGATACAACAGTAAAGGTTGCAATGAAAGTAAACCTTAAAACTGTAAAACATGATCAAAAGTATAATTTTAAAAGCTCACTATGTTGCATGAATCAACATTTCCCCAAATGGATTCGGTTGCGTACTTTCTCTGTGTAAACACATTCCTCCTGTGTTTAACTTTTGCTTATTTTTCAAATTTCCTTACTTATAAAAGAAATGGTTTGTTGTATGCAACTATCAACATTTTGCTGGAACACACAGAGATTAGTCAAAAGTGGCGTCAGCAAAGAAGGGAGGTGATGCATGATTGGACATGTGCTCCCCCCCCTTATATAATTTAGTGTCCTACATGTAGTAAATGTACTCATGTTATTCTGCCTCCCCCATAATTTTGAACAGGTTTTACTGTCCTTTACCATGGAGCTTATTGTCAATAGTTAGAAAGTTGGTATATCAATTTAGATATAATTTCTCATGCATGTTTAATCATACTTTATCGAGATGCTGCTTTAGCTAATTTGTTATGTCGGTAGTGTAGTTCTAAAATATCGCTTAATTGTTCTAAAATTAGTTTCGTTTTAGATGTAAGACGACCGTGTGAACAAAATTATGCTTGCTTTAGTTCTTAACATGTCACATACTCAACAAACGGACGAGAAATTTAATAAAAACAACGCGACCACATACATATCAGTAAAAAATGGTGATCATACTTCATGCCTTATTGTATTATCATAAATTTATCAGTGTGAGTTTTGTTACATAAACACATTTAAATAACGAGTGAAGATGAAAAGTGACTCAGGATCTCCTTCAATACTATAAAACATTAATGACATCTCTGTAGAACATTCAAGTTCTATAGCTAGGTGTACATCACTGACTAAAAACAATCCTTATTAAATTAAAAATCTCATGCAGAGTACATAATAACGTTGAAATGAGTCAAATTCCAAAGGACTACTGTTAAATAATATAAAGTTTAACAAGTTTTAACTCAAGAATAAAGGATAACCTTTCTAAAATAGGATTTGAATGTGAATGATTAAGACACATTTTTTTAAAACTTTAAATGGATTTTTTCACTTCATTAATCGAAAATTTCATACAGGTACATTATTGCAAAAGTCAGTTCATATTATAAAAAGACCTTTGTTATTGAATAAAACATTATAAATGATCAACACATTTTAATTATCAACTGCACGCAATTGTAAATACTTATGATAAATAAAATACACTGTACATATAACAGTAAAGGATGCAATGAAAGTAAACTTTAACACTGTTAAACTAACATATGATCAAAAGAACAGTTTTGAAAGCTCTGTGTTGCATGAATCAACATTACACAAAAAATAGATTCGGTCGCGTTCTTCCTCTGTGTATAAATACATTCTTCCTGTGTCTAAGTTTGCTTATTTTTCAAATTTTCTTACTTATAAAAGTTGTAATTAATGTCATAAAATTTGGTCATTCAAATTAACATTAGGATAAATCATACAATAAATATTAGTAATGAGTTATAATATAAAAATAAATTACTTTGTAAAGAAATAAAGTCTAATGGAGAATGTCAGATTCAAGGCATTGACAGTTCTATGTTTTCCTTAGATTGACCCTAGAGTTGGAAGGTTAGTTTATTAACTAGACAAGATGAGGACCAGCATCTCTAGATTCATTTTACCTAACAAAGTGCAACCTATAAATATTTGATTTAGTTACGACATTGATCATTTGAGGGATGGGGTTGACTTGGAGGGTAGGGTCCTTAGTCCCTCAATCCGTTTGTTAATATAGATACTGTGATTAGACCAAAGGATATTTGAAAAGTTCCCGGCGCTTATTTGTGAAGCTATATTGCTTTGCCATATAGTCTACAGGGTGTATAAAAAACTAAACAGTTTGGAAAACGTCTCCTAAGTCATCAGCGTACAAGATATGCATAAACCTTGGGTGGAAATAGTTAGTTGAGCTTCCAATGGTTTATCTGACTGAAAAATTTCTGCAAATAATAACCATTTTTATTCAAAGTAAAAATTAATTTTCACTCAAATAAGGTTAAAATATGACTCATATTTAAGGTGAGAACTAAGGTAGTTTTTGAAAATTTGGCTTGTGCCAGGTCATATAAGTAAAGAACATTTTCAAATCTTGAACAAGTTTGACGTATATAATATTAAATATATAATTTCATTTTAACTATGTTAATTAAATCTCCTTCATTCAGTAGCTGTATACTTGCAGGGTACCAATATGTACGCATTGCTTACCTATTTTGTTAAATTGCATTGTTTTGAGAGAAAAACCCAAACGCCAAGAATTGAAAAAGAAACGTGAATATTCATGACAACTACGATAAATAATGTTATGACAAATGGCTTTGCTTGGCCCCAAATGTGGACACTGTTTTTTTTTTCAAAACAAAACGAAATGGGAGGGAAAACCGGTGGATCTTGTAAAAAACCCTCCAATAAAAGAAAAGATCGAAAATTTAGAAAATTTTCCTCAAATTTTTGTAGTTTTAAGATGTTTCATATTTTTGTTGTTTTCAATGATCCCGATGATCTACTGTAACATTCAGCGTAGTCGGATCGTACGTCGTTCATATAAAAAATTTAAATTTACAGAGCGACAAAAAAGTGGGCTGACTACCCTATTAAACACAGTGAATATTTTGTTTTGGAACAAAAGAAACGCAAATTTTGGTAGAGAACAAAAAATGAAAGAGCGCAGAGTGCTAACAGAAATTTTAATAAATAGATGAAAAATGAAAACTAACAGCAGCCCATATATAAATCATGTAAAAAAATTATTCATTCTGTACGACCTGACCATTCACCTGACAATAACAATGAAAAATGAAATGACCAAAGTGACGTCATGACTTGCATAAAAATAATTTTTGATGTCTACAAGATTTCATTAGCTGTAAAATTTCTATATTGCTTCATTCAAGACCTTCATTAATAGCTGGCTTACATTCGTGTGTTTGGTCAGAATATTTAACAATTGTGAAAACTTAATTTTACGGAAATTTTTAGCGGTTGAATTTGAAAATGTGCTATAGTGGTGAACATTATGCATAATTAATGTAGCAAGTGTGAATCTTTCAGTAAGGACGCTTGCTTCAGAGTGCTTCTGTATGACTTGCTCGGTTCATTCATTGTTCAGTTAGTAGGTCTAGAAACATAGCGCTACTCTACCAAAAACACGTTATAAATGTCAGTATAATGAGTGATCAAAAACTAAACTTAAATATATTGAAAAGAACAAAACTTTAATACCTGATTTCCAAACTTTTTTGTGGTCAGTTTGATCAGGTGAATTTGTAGGTCTCCTCCTTTTTTTTTCACCGCAGAGTTTTTACGTGTATATCATAGAAATTTGTTGTAACATTTTATTTTAGAATTCAATGAACCCTACTGGCAGCATTGCAATTTTCTTTACAAACGTTTGATGTAATTAGAAAAAGTAGCAAGTGAAAGCCAGTTATTTTCTCAAAGCAAGTGACATTTTTATTGACATTTTTTCCTAATTTGGGTGTTTTTAATAATTAAGGTTCAAATTATAAAAATAGACCATCAGGATCCTTTTTTAACTTTCTCATGCAGTTACTCATACAGCTTTTATCTACTCAACTTACAAACCACAAGACATGGATCGTGTTTTTCCATTCGGTTGTTTTCCATCTTTGTAGAATAGTCCAGTCACTTCAATGTTAATGTTCATACGTACATATGCCATTATGCCATGTCCATTCAATATGTTTATACCATTTCATACAGGAAGTAACCGACATCATTAATCAATAAAGTAGCTCCTATATCATGAACAGCCATTTCGATCGTATACAATTTACCATGCACTCTTATTGTAACTTCGTGCGAAGGAAAAGGGACCACTTGAATACTCCAGTTATGTTATCACTCAAAGAATGCGTAGTGCAGAGTTGATCTTCTGTGAGTATCAGTTGACCACCTTTAGGTGGGTTCATATAGCAATGGGGCCCATCATCATTATATGAACAAACAACTGACATCAAGAAAGAAACCAAACTACAGATAAACATCTTGGCCATGAATCACCATGAAACATGAGTAATGACAAACTAGTAAGAGTAGTCGAAGTGAATGACACAGGAGATAAAGATACTTTTACAACTCCATCCATGTGGGATATACAATATAAGAAAATACGAAACATATGTATGAGATTTCATGATGAATAACTCTACATAAGACGATAGTTTGCGTTTTTAAATTCTTAATCAGATATATTGAGAATAAGAAAATTGTAATATGTTTTCTGCTGGACTATCCAAATGGTAGAACATTTACCTACATTGCACGAATAGCTTTAGTCAGTTGAGTTTGAACTATGCAACAAGAAATTTCAAACGATTAAAGGCTTAATATCGTGATCAAAGCAATTTACAGTGAAAGCTTTCATATTTGGAATTCGAGGAAGACTAGTTGACTGTTCCAAGTAACTCA